GTCAGCTTTCCTGCTCCTCTGATGCTGCTTGGCCTGCTGTGTTCATCCAGCTCTACACTTTGTTATATAAATTTAGATTGTCAATTCTGTTATTGTTTTCCTTCTGTTAAGTCTGACCCTTTCCAGAAACACATCCCAGCAAATGACACTGGAAATATTGAGCGCTCCTTCCTTCAAGTTTGCCTCTAATCAATATAAATGCCTCACTAACACTGTGGTTCAGATTAGTTAATCAAGCATAAAAATGTGATAAAGAATGGAATCTCCTGGATCTAAATGGATAAGTACCCCATACCACAGATTGGATATTGCATTTCATGTTGAATGAGATACAGTAACCTTGACTCCAAATTTGTAGCATTTTTGAATGTACCATTCTTTCAAGTGAGGATTTGGATTGGATGCAGGGCTGGTGCATGTTTTGAAGATCAGCGGAATTTTTCTCTTGTACACTCAAACAACATCACCTGAAGGTAAACTGACTTGTCCTTTATCTGATGACAATCTGTGCAACATTCTGTTGATGCAAAGTGTTTTCCATGCTTCCTACGTAGACCTGGTCAAAGCATTTCAATCGGGAACTAACTACATGAAACTCTTTAAAAAGCACCAAGAGGAGAAAATATTTTATAAATGAAAGTATATTGTTATAAGCACTGAGTTATTAGGAAAATTATAGAGATGTTTTGGCAGCATTGAGAACATTAATATTATACAATAATAATAACTGACCAATTTTATTATTTCCTTTATCTTACGGCAGAAGTTTATCCATTTTCACCACATTTCCTCCAATAAAATTAATATTTTTAATTAAGCTGCTGAACGATAGAAGAAAGATGAGAGGACTCTCACTTATTATGTTAATATATTAATATATATGGAGTGTTTCCTGGTTTCCAATTCCTCTTCAGGCAGGAGTGTCAGATCTCCATTCAGCTGCAACTTGCAACAGCAAGTCTAAAATAAGGAAATGGACTACTGGATCGAAGGGTGAAAAGAAAGAAATTGAAAATATTTTCCACCACCCTATCAAGACATCTATTGGCCCTGTGTCATATTGCATTAAACTGACATCACGTATTTTGTGGATTACAATTTTGTTTCAGTTCAGAAGCTTCAATTCCACTTAAACGATTGTGAATTGTTTTATTTGGCTTCTTTATTAACATCTGTTACACCTATGAAATATACAGTTTATGCTTAATTTTAAGTTGATGACTCCCATTTTCACTCGTGGGTCTGGAATGCAGAAATGGGACATTTCCCAGCAATATATACAGGAACATACATTAGACAGCATGTTAGGGTAACTGCCCATTGAAATGCTGCTATAGAATCATTTTATGTCTACTGAAGAGAGCATGTAATATCTCAGTTTAACATCATGTCTGAAAGACTGTACCTCCTACAGTTCTGCACTCCATCAGTACTGCACTAGAATGTCATCCCAGATTTTTGCGCTCAAATCTCTAAAATGGAACTTGAACCTATGACATTTTGATAAAGACTTCTACCAACTGAGCCGTGGTTAACACTGTCGCAACCCTGCAAACAGGGTGCTGGTGATGCTGAACTGTTGGGTATGTTCATAACTTCTTGTCATTCTGTGAAAGATATTGAGCTAACACCTAACTCAATCTTTGCCCTCCAGCCATGTCTGCAAAGAACTGTTTAACAAGGGTACTTTTGTTAGTCTTTCTCTGGCAGTAAGGGCAACTAATGGCAATTATTGAAGAATTTTACACAAGATGACTTGAGATTGTCCCTACAATAAGTGTTAGTGACAATCTCAGACAGTGCAACCAGATAGGAATTCACTGAAGATTCTATCTTCTCGTTTCTAGTTTGCTAGACATTGTCTCTGACATTATATCCCATTAGCTAGCTCAAACTAAGGCCAAATAAGGACAGCTACAGTTATGACTCAAAACAATGATTTCATGGACTGGAAAACAATTTTGTGGGCCCCTTACATTCCACGTTCCAAGGAAGCCATGTGGCAAAACACTTTGTCTGCTACCAGCAGGTGACAGAAAAATTGCAGGTAGTACACCAACCATTGTCAGACATATGTTGGCAGTGGGTGATGCTTCTTGCTGGATAGAATGGGTATAGTTCCGATCCTAAAACCATTGGTGGATTTGTTGTACTTGATAAAGCACAAGAATGTGTGACCACAGTGAATTGATATTAATATAATACCTGATATTAGGTATCTAAGGAATTATATAAATTTAGTTGTTTGTCTTCATGACATTATGACAGGTATTTGTAAATATACTATACAAATATGAGGGGAAACAAGTTATTTAAAAGAAGGGAACTCAGATCAGTCTGTTTTGCATAAAGAATAATAAGTAGAATACGTTACTAAAAAATTTCATAAAAATGGAAAGATTAAATTGATATAAGCAATTAGAATTCTATTCAGAGAGAAATGATTGAGAAAAGTATATTGCAGGCTGGATTAATATTAGTTTAAAAAGTCATCCTTATTCAATAAATTTCCTTGCTAGTTACTAGAAATTCTTGAGTTCATTACTTTCACTTGCCTCCACTTTTGTCTGGTTCCTTTGTTTGAAAGTCTGTGCCGGAATCTGCTGGACTCTGATTTGATATCACAGGTAAGCTCTGTACAGACTCGCTCACTCTTACATCTCTTCCTTGCAGCTTGATATATGACCTGCTTCCATAAACCCTAACCTGGTACATGAAATCTCCCTCAGACACCACTTTGCGGATCACTACTGTTCCATATCCTCGACCTGATGAGAAAGAACTTACTAAAATATTTGCAGACAGCGAACATCGAATTTTCTGCTTCATTAGACTTACAATGGAAACAGAAAAGTATTTGAGAAACTTAACTTATTTGAGAAACACAATTCAAAGATATGCAATGGTCTACTGCCCCTTCATTTACCTATCATAGAATCATTGCATCCTGACAGTGTGGAAGCAGGCTATTCGGCCCATTGAGTCCACAACAACCCTCCGAAAAGCATCCAGCCCAGACCCACCACCCTACCCCATTGCTGTCACCCTTTTTTCCCATGGCTGCATATTCTTGAATACTATGGGCAATTTAGCATGGCCAATCCACATGACCCTCACATCTTGGGACTGTGGGAGGAAACCAGAGCACAGGATTGGAACGTGCTAACTCCACATAGACAACTGCCTAAAGCTGGAATCAAACCCAGGTCCGTGGTGCTGTGAGGCAGCAGTGTTAACAACTGAGCCACCATGCTGCCCCTGAAAAATACATACAACATGTTAATAGAAAGGACTCGGACACTGACTGTGTTTTCACTGCCTACATAATGGTGAAGATATGTGAGTAAGAAGTTAATAGTTTTAATTGACAAATAATAGAGAATTGGCCTCCAACATACACTTAGCTACAGAGGTCACGTTTAAAATAACAGATCAAAATATTTAAAGAAGTAACAGCCCACTGATACTCAAAAAAGAGCAATGTAGCATTGAACCTTTTGGGATTAATCTGAATGGTAACAGCTGGATGAAAAGCAGGTGCTGCAAATCAACCATTCATTTGACATTCTGCTCAATCTTCCTTTCCATACGGAATAAAAATTTTCTATTCAACATTTTTCATTATGGATATAAGTTCAAATCAGCTCTGTGTGACTTTTACTGTGAAATTTCCAATATCAAAGGAAAGAAATGCTAAACTTTTAGTTTTTCTTTTAGTCAGAGCCAAACAAATTAATTCTTGAAATAGTCCTTTAAAAAAAGGGTTGGGTTTCATTGGGTGTCCGTCAATCTACTTCAAACTTTGGGAAGTTTATAATCAGCAAAATCAATCATTGCACCCTTTTTTCATTGGTCATTGTTCCCAAAAATGTCTTCTTGTCATTGTTTTTTGCATCAAAATCAACATTTGACTCAGCATTTGTGGCATCACTCTGATGATGCCAATTCATCCCCTGGTGTTTTTATGTTCACTGCATCCACTACTTCAATGGCTGATAAGCATGTTTTCACCCCAGACCTCAACTTCAGATTTGAACTTAACCCTAAACCTAACCCTACACCCCAAGTCTACATTTATTACACTTACATGAAACAGAGGCTAGTCTAACCCTGAGCCTCAGCCCCAGCTTGTACTCAGTTACCAAACCCACCACATCTTTGTAAACTGGAACCTAACCTAAGTACAAATTCTAGCCTTCACCATCTTTCAAATATGAAATATCCACATTTACACAGACCATATCCCAAAGTCAGCCCTCAACTCATCCTGAACTGCAGCTTCTCTCCACAATGCTGCACCACTATGCCCCAGTCATTCCCAGTTCTATCTCTGATGTCCTGTTGGACATACTTCTGTGTCACAAATACTTCTCTGCTTGCATGCAATTACACACATGTAATTTGGAAACATGTGTGTTAGACTAAATCAATGTACTTTTGTATATTATCTCATATATGCTGACATAATGGGACACATATAATAAATACAAACTCTTCGCCCATCAGCAAACAACTTCAACCATACTCTCACCACTGAAAATATATGTTAACCACATGCATGTTCAGGCACAAAAATAGGCACCCCTCAATACCTTCCTTCTTCTTTTCATGTACAATTGACACAGACTTGCTCACTGACAGGAGATTTCTAGGTCCTCGATGTCCAGCTTTCCTGATGGTGTTTCTCAAGTTCTTCTGAATAAGGTTCTAGAATTTAATTTGTACATTGGTGTTGATTATTAGACATGCTATGGTCTCTAATCGCCTTGTATTTTTCTGTGCAAGACTGGCATAACTACAGTGCGATGCCAATCTTCAGCATAATAGATCAAGGAAATTCATATGTAAATGATTATGACCAATCCTTTGAGTCAGTTCAGTGAAACAGCCACCAGCATTGGTAATTACTAATATCCCATTCTTGTACAAAAGGCTGGACAGTATGGGTTTTCTGCTTTGAAGTCAGCTCTGAAATGGCTGTAATGTTACACCTGATTGGATAACTCGTTGGAAATCAAGCTCCACTATTCCCAAGTTGTCATAAAAAATAAAGGGTTTGAAAATGGCAAAGAATTTCCCAATTTACCTGTCTTTCAGACCCATGTTAACAGAAAGCATGGCCTAGGTTCCTATTCTTAACAAGAATCATTATTTATTACAAATAAATTGATTTCAGCTACAGATAAACAAGTAAGAACCATCAACCTATAACACTATTTGTTAAAATTCCAACCCCTTAAAAACATTTCCCCCTACACAGACAGACACAGAAAAGAAATTGTGTTATGGGCAGAGGGAAAGACTTGATAGACAGATCACTATCCCTGTTCACAAGATCTGCTGGGATAATTCTTGTTCTAGTCGAGTGCTGCTTTTTGAGCTTCCTTCTCTGGATGCTATCACTTGTTTGGTGGAGTTACAGGATGACTAGTTCATTTATTAAGGTCTCTAACTTATTAATTAAAAGTCATAGCTTGCAACAACTGCAGAGGAAAATTAACAGGTTTTTTACAAGCTTAAAGTGACATTTACCTGAACTTACAGAAGTCTGCTGATTATCCTGTTCACAGTCCCAATCTGTTCAGCCAATCACATAGTTGTTGGCAGGCAGAAGGCTTTTGTTATTGATAACTGCTCACTTGTCCACAGACCAATCAACTACTTGTTGCTGACTAAATTTCCATTTGTACACAGCCCTTGGCTCCAGATCATCTGCAAACTTACCACTGTTGCATAGCAGCTGTGTAAACAGCACTTACAAATCAGGTTACTTGCTTTTAAAAAATGCTGTAATCCTTCAGCAATCCTTGCTTTTTAAAACAGCCCTTTTTCCATTTCAGTCCACAGTCAAAAATACAGAAAAATAAAAAGACCAGGTCTTTACAGTAAATTAGTACCTAAAAATTCAGATACAGTGGGCCACATGGTCAAGTTTCTGGTGATTTACAGCCTTTTCTTAAATATGAAAATTCATTTTATTTCTTTTCACTAAGCCAAACATTGTGCTTTCTGAATTTTAGACCACAATTTATGTCATTCAAATGAGTTATGTTAACCACTAAAATTCTATTGGTAGAATCCTAGCTAATGCTATTACTAGATGTATCAAATCACAGCTTAAAATCTGGTTTTATGGCTTTTTTAAACTTAACAAAGTGGTCTTTCATTGAAGAATAAGTGTGCAATGCTGCAGATTTGATTTTATCAATAAAACAGGAACTAATTATGCAAAAGAAGTAACAATAAAGTAGAATAAACCAAGCTATTTACATGTAACACAATTTTAAAGATTTGAAACACATGGTAAAATACAATCCCATTTATCCCAACAACATTCTTTATAGGACAGAAACACCAGAAATAACCCCTTCTTTATGACACGAATAGTTTGACATAACTGCTGCATCAACTTCTGATCTTTCTATTCATACAACTAAGCTTAAACTTTCTCAGCTTCAAATGATCCCTTCAGGGTATAAACCAAACACTTCTGGTCTGGAACTTTCAAACTGAATTTGTTACATTAAGGTAACCTATTTCTTAACAACTTTAAACTATCTCTTTTCTTTAGGAAAACTGCTTCAGTTTAACTTACAACCAGAATGTATACAAACTAAAAGCAAAAAGTGTTCCTGTAAACAAAAGAAAAATCCAGATCCTTCTAACTGAAGCAGCCTAATACACTCCATGGTTTAACCTGTCTGGCCGTAAAACACACCCAATGCCAAGATCAACCCATTACACTCCAGGAAGTCACTCTCTCACACAGGGCTTTAAAAAAAAGGCTCCAGAAATACTGACAAGTTGCTCACCAAAGCCCCTCACACACATTGACCAAAACTCACAAGCCAGTAATTCAAAATCCAAATGCTCAAATAAATGAAACAATAATACACATAAATCCCATGGCCATAAATCACATTATCACATTTTAATTTTCTTAAACCTGCACTGGGTAAATGATGATTTATTGGCGAAACTGTCAGAATACTGCATGCATCAGAGCAATACTGAGGGAGGTTTTGTTTAGTGCAATTGTAAAACTTAATATTTCATCACACAGGTGCCTCTTGTTCCAAATGGCATTAGATTCTGTCACTTTACAGTATCTTGTATATTTCAATTAAGTCATCTCTGCTTCCTGTAAACTCCAGTGAAGAAAAGCCTAACCTATCCAACATTTCCTCATAAGATAACTCATCTATTGCAGGTATTAGTCTAGTAAACCTTCTCTAAACTGCTGCCACCATAGTTATATCCTTCTTAAGTAAGGAAAGCTGTACAATACACGATATTTCAGATATGGTCCCACCAATGCCCTGTACAGGTAGAAGCAAAACTTCCCTACTTTTGTATTCAATTTCCTTCACAGTAAATGATGACATTCTATTAACCTTCCTAATTACCTGCAAGACCTGCATGCTGACTTAATGCAATTCATGCACTAGGACACATATCCCTCTGTATCTCAGCACTCTGCAATCTCTTACCTTTTAAATAATAAACTTTTTTATTTATCCTGCAAAAAATTTGACATTTTCACACATTAAACTTAATTTGTCAGATCTATGCCCATTCAGTTAACTTATCTATATTCCTTTGTAAACTCCTTGCATTATCTTCACAACTTTTATGAAAAAGCAATTCATGGGATGCTGGTTGCCCATGTTTAGTTGTCCTTCAACAGGTGGAAGTAAGCCATCTTCTTGAAACATTGTAGTCAATTTACCCACAATACTGTTAAAAAGGGAGTTTCAGGTTTTTGACCCAGCAGTACTGAAAGAACAGCAATATATTTCCAGGTCAGATTTCAGATTTTTGTTTTCAATCTCAAAATTCTATGATCTGACATGGTGGGATTCGAACACCAACTCACAGAACATTACCTGATCTTCAAATTACTATTCCAGCAACAATATCACAATGCCATAGCCTACCCATTAATTTACTTTCTTGCATATCTTTGTCATCAGCAAACTTAGCCACCATACCTTTGATCCCTTCATACAAGTCATTCATATAATTTGCAAAACATTGCCTTAACCCAATGGGCACACTTGCTACATCATGCCAACCAGAAAATGACCTATTCATGCCTACTGTGTTGCCTGATAGCTAGCCAGTTTTCTATCCATGCTAATAAGCAAACAACATACGATGATCTCCTAATGATCTTTGATGTAATGCCTTATCAAATGCTGTCTGAATAACTAGGTAGTAGATTCAGCAGTTCCCTTTTATCAACAGAATATATTACTTCTTCAAAGAAATCCAATAAATCAGTTAAATCAATAAATCCACATCACAAACCTTTGCAGTCTCTGCCTGATCACCTCAAACCACTCTTACTGTCCCACTGCTTATGCCATCTTTGACTATTAAAGCTTTTAAAATCTTCCTATGACAGATCTTAAGCTAACTGGCTGGCTAGGGTTCAGTAGTTTCCGGATTTCCATCTCCCTCCCTTTTACAATAAAGGATTGCATCTGTTTTCCCAATCTAATAAAACATTTCCCAATCAGAGGAACTTTCAAAAATTAAAATCAACAAGTCAACTATCTCATTGGTCACTTTTATTAAGACCCTGGGATAAAGTCCACCGGGACCTGAAGGACTTGCCAGCGCATAGTTCCAATAATATATGAATTTTTTTTTTAACATGAGTGTAATACATTCAAGATTTTCAGAGCACAGATAGGTGAGCCCACTGGATATGGTTTTCCAGACCACTTGATGACAGAACAGACTATTTTTAGATGCAGATCTTGAACAGGATTGCTCAGTTACGAAGAAAGCTACTGAAATTCCAAATGTAAACCGTCTGAGTCCAACTCCACCACCCACGTGCCAGTTTGAACCTAGGGACGTCCTGATCTCACAATCCTTATCCCCATCCCCTCTTGCCAGTTGCTGCAGGACGTGGGTGTATGAATGTGTGTAAAAACTGGGACAAAGAAGAAATCCCTGACAATTTCAAGAATGCTGCATTGCCACTGTCTTCAAGAAAGGAGACAAAGTGGATTGTGGGAACTACCGAGGAACCTCCCTACACTCACATTGGCACAGGTAAATTCTTTGTCCCAGTCTTTCAGGAACAGAAACACCTAGGGAGAGAAGAAAAGATGGGAAGCCTGGCAGGTGAGCCACCTTACAGCTTGCATAGAAAGGAGTACTGCACCTCTCTCACGGTGCCCTATGTCAAATGGGGAGCCTCCACTGATCTTCCCCACTGTCACATTCTTCTCCCCTCTGGCTTTTGGAAACCAACCTCCCCTTTCTTAACCTTACGACTGGGACGTCCTGCCCTGGCTCCACTGACAGCGTGCCATATTATCCAGTTTCAGTCTGGTTCCTTAAAGAGTATATTGCTTTATTTTGCCATATTTGTGATTGTGGACTGGATGGGAAAAGAACTGGAAATGGGATTACTGCAGTTTATTTTTAAATCAAGTTACCAAAGCTCGTTGTAAGTGGTGTTTACACTGCGATAATAAAACAAAGAACTGCAGATGCCTCAGATTTGAAATTAAAACAGAAATTGCTGGAGAAACTCAGCAGCACCTGGGGAGACAAAGCAGAGTTAATGTTTCCATTCTGTAGAATAGTCACTAGACTGAAATATTAATTCTGCTTTCTCTCCACAGAGGCTGGACACCTGCTGAGTTTCTCCAGCTATTTCTGTTTGCGTTTACGCTTCTGCTTTGTTC